TGCCAGGAATCATCCTGGGGGTAAAGGGCGGCCAGCGCATAAGGCTGACAACCTCACCGCCATCTGTGAACCGATTATCTAGAAAATGTGGGAGCCTCGACGTCTCACAACTCTATGGGCCTTCATGGGTTGTTACAGGGATAGCTTTAGCTCTTTATTCGACATTCAAGAGTTTATCCGTCTAAGTTCGGTGCCTGGTGAATATGAATATTCCAACTCGAAAAACTGGGGTCTTTTATATGGGCCCCAAAACAAAATTTTAGTAATTTATGGAGGTCATATCCCTAAAGAAAAGCACATAAGTGACATATTCAGGATACACGCACCAGGAGACCAAAGGGAAGATATAAGTTTTCTCGATACCGGCTTTACCGGTCATACGAATTTCAGTTTTGTTCGGTATTCAGTAACCAACAGTGATCTGCCGTGCCACAACAGATTTCTTTAAGGCAACTTAGTTAAGGCCAGTCGTATACGAAGTACATATGTGCGCTATTTTTACAGCGGTCTAGTCTTTAAACACTGAAAGTTAGGAGTACGTTATCTGCAGATATATCTGACGTAATAAATAAGGACTTTCCACTGGTATGTAAGTATTTAATCAATTTATGTTCTTCGTAATGGTCTTTGCCGTAAGCCTGTCTTACCGGAAACTTGAAGATTTATTCTGGCTGGCTGGCTACGTGTCCATCGGATGCACTACATGTGTAAAGGACAGTAGTAAAACACGAAGTGCTCAGAGAAACGAAAGAAGATTGCTCTTGTACTTCTTTTGGCTTATTTTGGACTTCACCCATCGTCTGGTATATAAAAGACAAAAGGACAAAAAAACCACGACTTTTCGGAGACTAGTGTCAATCACTGGACGATCCAGAGATTGAGACTAGCTCTTTCTAAGGGGCCCAACTGAGTAGGTTTATCCTTCCCTATCCACCTGAAGACGGAGACAGATCCAGTCTCCGAAACGTCGTGTTTTTTTTTGTCTTTTGTATACCAGACGATGGGTGAAGTCCAAAATAAGCCAAAAGAAGTACAGTATACACCATCGTCAGAATCCTTTCAAGTCTAACCAAGATTGTTCCTGTAAAATGGATAATGTATTTTCCAACGCATTCCGAATTATTTTCATTCAGATGTTAGATGAGAATTCGGACGGCTCTACGCATGCGCTAGGAATGACAAAAGTAACGTTTAAAGTAATTTAAAGATTTTAAATTTAAATTAATAAGAAGGTATTTAAAGAAAATTAAAATAAAGAAGAGTAAAAAAATAGACATTACATCATTCCCGAAAAATGTTACATATTGTGGAATAAACTCGTCTGACACTCACCTATCTGCGGCACCATGCAGGGATTCATTATAGGGGTGACTCGTTTCTGAAGTGACTTCATAACGATTTATCGGTAGCAGGCCTCGTGTTTCAACCATTAGACTGTTTTGGTATTATAATACCCATAGGTTTTCTGTAATACACGGACATCAATTTATGCCGCTTCGAACGTCACAGTTTCTCAACTGCTGAGCTGGATTTACTGAGTAAGCTTACGGTGGCACAGCACAGTACGACTTAATAGCCGATTGAAAAAGGGTGACTCGATGGGGTGTAGGAAGTAAATATCCTTGAATTGTTTTAGGATATATAATGTTAATGTTAGCCGATCACGGTAGCCGAGCACTGTCTTCGCTCGCTCGGAAGCTGGGATCGTGGGTTCGAATCCCACTCAAGGCATTATGTTTAGTGCTTGCATGTATATGTGCATTTCTCTGTGTTTGTCTACAGATAGAGGCCTTGCGACGAGCTGCTCACCCGCCCAAGGAGTCCTACCGAATGCCTAAATTCTAGTAAACCGAAGTGAAACGGAGAGTTTCATGCAGGTAGGCCAAGGTCCAAATTGGGGCTGTAGCGCCAAAGGATAAACAAGGAATGTTAATGTTAATGCTGAGATTTTGGCATGCTGGTTTCCTCTCGCGCTTCCTAATCTTAAAACATTTCCTCGGTCATAGAAATTCTTAGCACCTCTTCAGGAGGCAGTAACTTTCGCGAATTACAGACTATCAGACAAATTTATCCATAGTGTCTCGCCTTCCTTCCAAGCACACGCAGTGATTATTTAATTAAATTGGTAGCGAACTCTTCCGTCTCAATCCCTTCTGGCGCTTAATTCGTTGATAATAATAGGGTAAATAAGCAGATAAACAACGTACTTTATGTAAGATTTGAGGCTTTCACGGCGGTGACTATGAAGAAAGCAGTCTTCTGGGATTTGGCACCGTGTATATGTGGTGTTAACCGACGTTTCGGAGGAACGTATCGCCCCCATCTTCAGGGTAGAAGAAAAAGTATAATAAATCTGCAAGCGACCACACCGTGAGAAACTGTAAAGCACAGTTTCTCACGGTGTGGTCGCTTGCAGATTTATTATACTTTTTCTTCTACCCTGAAGATGGGGGCGATACGTTCCTCCGAAACGTCGGTTAACACCACATATACACGGTGCCAAATCCCAGAAGACTGCTTTCTTCAACGTACTTTATGTTTGTAGCTAGTCTGGGTTCTGTAAGAACATTGTTTTAGTAGTATGGAATAGTTCTTCTGAGCTTAGTTAGTTAGTTAGTTAGTTAGTTAGTTATTGGAGAGGGTGGGTTTCCCCATGCACTGAGACCAGTATTGGTCCATTGTGCTTCCCTCTATGATATTCTACCAGTCTCTATACCCTACCGATATTGGTGAGTACCATCATTCCCGACCGAGCCAGCGAGTTCGGCCTCTACTGTCGTGGCAGTATCTAAAATGCTCCCCATCTATCAGAGGCGTTAGAGACTACTGTTGGGCGGGAAATGTCATTAAATTAGGTCAGTGACCTCCTTTGGAGATATGAGGTTCTTTTACGTGTCGTAAAGCTACGACACGGGACCCACGGCTTAAAGTCCCTCCTGGAGGACTTGTTCCCTGAATTTTTCTGCCCTTAAAAATTCAACGAACCCGCGTACCACGAGTCATGAGGTGGGAACGTTACCTCTAGACTACGGAGGCCGCTGCTTCTGAGCTTTATTTGTGATCTTGGCGCAAAGTGAGATTCTGAGAGAATTCTTACGGTTCGGCTCCCTGAACGCGTGACCGAAGAACTATCGGCTCTGCATTTAGTGTGATGAATTGCACATTCAGGATTGGAGACGCATGCCGGTTGTGAAGGAGACCGGAAAGGCAATATTTTTAACGCGAAAGATAACGAGAAACAATATTGGTCTGTTTTTAGTTTTCTGTGCTTGTGACTCAAAGCAGTTTATCTGGATCTTCTTTCTTGCAGTGACACAATTCTTTCATTTCTCTCGTGACCTCTTTACGCCCAGAACGATTACTCCTGAGAGAATACCAGCGTTCCGACACACGTCAAGAAAAATCTAACTCATAGAGTGGAAGAAGGCAATTTGTATTGCATTACACGTTCTGAGGATGGCAGTTGAGGTGTTACAATGTGTTCGGGGGCCGTAGTTGGCTAGAACAATGTTCCTGTGATTTCTGTTATGTGACTTCGCCCAGCTGGCGGTGTAATGCATTTCACGCTTGCATGTTCAGGTTCACACACTAAAATACTTTCTTATCTCGTCTCCCCATAGGTCCTTTAGGTAATTTAGGCGTAATTTAGGCAAGGAATGATTGATGGACTGTACCGTATGTTTTTGTTCTGCGTGTTCACCTTTATACGAAATAGGTAGGTGATGTAATCCACAGTTGCCCAAGAACCAAGGAGCACTTTGGTAGCAGTACACGAAGGTTCAGCATCATTAATACGCAAGTCCGCCAATGAATACCATACTAAGTTACTTCTAACTACCTCTCATTTTCCCAACCTACTTTCCTGAGATCCATCTATATGTCGTTGTCAAATCTCTTTCTCACTCTTCCGTATAGACTTTTCCCAAGCGATTACCCCACCAAAATTGTATATGCATTCTTGTCTCTCCACCATAACAATACTCATGTCCATCTCATCACGGCCTCCCAGATTTCACTATCCTCTTTTCTTTTATCTAAATGATATAATGATACAAATTCCGTCCCTAGTGCAAACAATATATTATGTGTCCTTGATCTTGCTCCCCTACACTACATGTTTCGGCCTCAGACGGCCATCATCAGGTGTATAACACTCACGTTGCTGTTACACTGCACCCAGCCCAAAATTTAACATTTAAAATACTTTCCTTGTTATTATCAACATCTACTTCGTTGATATCTGTCTGGTTTATAGATTATTTTACACACGTTAATTTTGACTTTCCTGTAGTAGCACTATAAAATCTTTAGTTCTAATTTTAAAATCTTTAAAAAAATTTCTCTAAATTTTAAAATTTAAAATTGTTAGGGTTACTCGTCCTATGTCTAAAGTGCTGCAGCGGCTAGTTCTTGTTTCCACACTGTATAGGTGTTATCCTATGTAGTCTTCTTGTGTGCGTGCCGCTGCTATTCTTTACTACGTGTGCTCTTTTATCTCTGTAACAGGCCGTGGAGGCCCATAGGATTGTGAGAGGTTATCGGCTCACAGATGGCGGTAAAGTTGACAGTCTCATGTTCCCCCCCTCTGGAGATACCTGGTGCTCATTTCTGTTAGAGGCTGAGTCCACCCCATGGCCATAATACGGCTGGAAGGATTAGGTAAACTGAAAAAGAAAAATCCACCTCATCGGGACTGGAACCCGCGACCTTCCGGCTTGTAGCGTAGTGCATAAACCAACTACACTACCGCGTACCCCTTTCATTACCTCCCTTAGACCTAAATATATGCGTGGGCACACTGTTATGCAGGGATATATGATCTGTATTTTCCTTCCTAGAATCTAAAGTTCGGTGATATAAAATACAAGTCTCGTTATTGTCTTTTTGAATTGTAATGGCGCTTGAATCCAGAGCTCCTTCATGAAGGTAGTCATTTATGATACACGTTCGCATCACATAGTTGTTTGGCTGCTTTTGACAGTCTTCGCTTTCTCTTGCAGTAGTTCCAGCCGACCTGCCATCGCACCCACGGGCAGAGCCCTCCAGCGGCAGCAAACCCACCCGACGCCTCATTAAAGTCGACTTCTCGAAGTTGCAGGTAAGCTTACGCAGTCGTCAAAAGTTTCAACCCCTGCTGCTCGCAGATAAGAGTACAATCATTTATGTTATGTTCCTGGGTATTCTTTCTTCGTGCGTGTTTGAATATTGCATGAATATATTGCCGAGCAATGTTAACAGATGCAGAAACCGGCTTTTATTTTCAATCATTCATTAGTTGTTCTACAGCCCTTTGTTGAGCCCTGGTATCTTCTTCGGTTTCGTAATCTTAGTACACAGACGTTAAGATTTCTTGGACGAGCGATCAGCCCGTTGCAAGGCCGCTATCTATACACAGGATAACACAAACATAGAATAAACGCACACACAGACATCCATGTCTTGAGTGGGATTCGAATCCACAATCACCGCTTTCTGAACTACTTCAGAAACTGTTATCTAATTCTGGCAACTATTCAAGAACTTCCTAGCATTTTATGGAACCCAAAGTTTCATTACCGTGTTCACAAGAGCCCTCCACCTGGGCGATGCGTTTCATCCAGGACGCGTATAAGTGGCAGAATAACAGGACTTGGACTGCAACGTTTCTTAAACCTGCGGCTTGTTTCCGTTGTTCTGATCAAGCAGTTTGAGCGCGGGAACCACAGTTTTGGTAGCTGTTCGATAACAGCTTGGTTACGATCGATACGTGGCTTGTAGCCAACCTTATCTTCCGTCCAAGTCACGTTTTATCACGGAAACCAACCTCTTGATTCCTCCTCTTGACGCTGTGGCCTTGTTCCTGATTCCTGGTTTCCAGCTGGATCGGAGTGCCACAGTATAAGTGGAACATTTTGTATGTACTGAACCGCTGCTGAAATTCCTCGTGGACCAGAAGTAGGGATGGACTTCTGGCTCCAACATCTTGCGGAATATTCGACACGGCAACAACTACGATAGTTGACAAAAATAGAAATAGGCGTATGTGTTTCATAAGTTAATGGGAAGAGGCACGATTTTATGAACGCCAAGTCATCGAATAATGTATATCTCGGAAAATCTTACACAGTAGTATAGGGACTGACCATTTTAAGAAGTTTCCCATCTTTTGTGGAATCCAGGGATTCATTACAGTGTTCACAAGAGCCTACAGCCGGTCTCTGTCCTGAGCCCGATGAACCTATCCCACCATCACACCATGTTTCGGTTACCTTGCAATATTATTCTCTTCGGGAGGTTCTTGGTTCGAATCTCGGCCAGAAGTATTTGTCATTTTTTCAGTCCTTCCAGGCAAATTCCATAGTAGTACCTTGTTTTATAAGTTTTTCAGTCTTTCCAGGCAAATTCCAGGATAGTGCCTTGTTTCGGCCACGGCCACTTCCTTTCAAACAATTTCCAGCTTATTATTGATCTCTCATTCTACCATTCAACGCTATATAATCTCAGTACCGAAAACTTCGTTAAAAAGCCCACGAAGAATGTTTTCCTCGCGTCCTAAAATCAGCATATATGAAACTGCATCAAAACGGAAAGTTCCAGTTATAAGCGTAATTTATTTCTTCCAACATGAGAATGTTTACGTTTGTTAGAAAGGAAGGCAATCCATGGATGTGGATAAAATTGGAAAATAAATTCTTCAAGTAATTTTGAAAAAGTCAAACCGATAGACAGTTTTGCTGGAATATGATTAATTTAACAATTCATATTACGTAGTTCATTACATTCATTTCAGCAACGCGACGTCCCAGATTCACCCCAGAATTGAGTGCGTTTTAAAATTTAAATGGATTTTCACATAGTCGCATTTTGCCAAGAATTAACGTTTCGATTGTATAATACGGGATTAAGAATGCGTGGATTTTTATTTACAATCTCCAAAAATGTCTTCATGGTTTGGTGCTTAAGTAGAGGGGCATTAGGCTTTGTTTTAATGAGCCGGAGTAGCTTAGTCAGTAATATGACCAGCTTTGGGGTTTGATTCACTACGAGGAGCAGGAATATTTCTCTTCGTTATAGAGCCCAGACCTGCGTGGAGGCCGCGCTGAATATTATTCAATGGGCCTTTTCCTCGGCGTTAAAGCGAACGAAATGTTAAGGTAGATAACCCAGCACCTTCATTTAATGGCGAGGTTAAGAATGCGTAGGGTTGTACCCCTCGTCTTTGGGGAGAAATGCTTTATATTTAGTTGTCAGTGTAAGAGCCTTAGTTTTGTCTTTGAAATGTAATTGTTGCGTTGTAATTCACTTGACGTATGATAATATCTTATGTCTTTTACATGTACGTGAGAAATGAAGTTCGGTAAGGTCCTTTGATTTAAAAAATTGCATAAACCAGGATACCGTAATCTCTCTACTTAAAACGAAACTCTCTGCTGCAAAAGTTTTATAGCCGTGATTTTCCTTCGGAGTTCCGGCTATGCTGTAAAAACTTGCAAAGCTATCGCGAACGTGTTTTAGATGTGGAGAAAGTGCTCTATGTTGACAGACGACCTTGATCCATTGAGATCTATAGTCGTTGTGTTAGGGAACAAATTATAATTCAGCAAATTGACCACACCCCACGCATAATTCTCATTGTTCGTTATAAATATGCGTGGTGTCCTTCCTCTGTAGGGCGTGGGCGGGCTCTATTACAGACGACACGACGACCACGTGTGCTAGAGTGATCAATACAACGAATGGCTGTTTGCGTGAAAATATCTCATTTTCCTCACAGTTACAATCGCTTTCTGAATATGTAGCAGGAAGCCTTTTCGTCAGTTGGTTCCACGACAGCTACAGAGCACGAGTTTTGGCAGTATTTCCAAATCTCTAGTATTTGTTTCTGAACCTAGAAACGCGCCCAAACTGACATTCATGTATTTTTATGAAATGGCTGTAAACAGAATACACGTCTTTTGGAGCGTCATATCGCAGTGTTTTGAAAACACGAAAGAAAAATAAACCGTCCAGGTAACATTCTTGCAGCAAACAAAATGAAATGCTGAAAAGGAAAAGGTGTGTACAGAGGAGATCAGAGATGTGTTTCACTTTAATAAAATCACAGAGGCAGAATGTATTTATTAATCTCACCACTATATTCAGGTCGGTTAACGAAACAGTCGACGAGTTATAACAACTACATTACTATTTACGCCATCTTTTATAATATCGGGCGTCACACAAGTTGCCTTACCGAGACGGTGAAGCATTTGTGTTTATTTTCACTTGCTTTCAGACGTTTATTTTAACAGATGGTAACACTGCCGACCACAATTGCCGCGCGGTCTAAGGCATGAATCGTCTTCTCCCACTCGAACACTGGGATCGTGGGTTCCAATCCCACTCGAGACATGGATGTCTGTGTACGTTTATTCAGTGTTTGTGTTGTTCTGTGTGTAGGTAGCGACCATGAGAATGGCTGATCCCCCGTCCAGGGAATCCTACCGACTGTGTATAGGTTTAAGAATCTGAAAAAGCGACCAATGTCCAATAGAGGGCTGTAGAGTCGTAGATACGAGTAGATGGATGGGTGGGTAGATTACACTGTGGTTACACGATCAGTTGTTTCTACCAGCTTTTGTATTATGTGTACTTAACTGGCATTTGTTTGTACATAAAGTAATATTCGCCTGGAAGGTGAGTATAACCTGGTAAATCGACCTTTAGGGCATTTTATGTTTAACTACTGCTATAGGTTTAGTTGGAGCAGTGTAAGGCATGGAAACTGGGATCATGAGTTCGAATCCCACTCAGGGCATGGATGTTTAGTTTGTGTGTGTGCGTTTTTCTATGTTTGTGTACAGGTAGAGGCCTTGCGACGAGCTCATCACCCGCCCAAGGAGTCCTACCGAATGTGTAAGATCTAGAAAAACCGAAGTGAACGGAGAAGTTCATGGAGGTAGGCCTAGGCCCACTGGGGCTGTAGTGCCAAGGAAAAAAAAAGTACGTTTAGTTGTTGACAAGGTTATGGCGTAGCAGACGTCTAATTAAAAAAGGCAAAAGAAGAATCACTTCTTGATTAGAAAGGCGAGGAATTTTGAAGTGGCGGTTTCATGACTGTGGCATCTGGCAGATCCTGACGGCCCATTCATTGAGCGCCCACTTTATAACTTAGTAGAGACAACGAATACGGAGTTAATTCGATAAAGTAACGCAGTGCCTTAATCTGTGAGAACTGTACAAGTGACGTATGTTATATATCAAAACAACGTTAAATCTGCTGAGCTGAATTTCCCGTTCATTGCACAGATTTTTTCCTTAAAGTAAACTGTGCTTGTTTATTTGTGATAGTCGTTTCAACGTTGGCCTGTATTCACGTTGAACAAAGAAACGTTTCTTCTAAACAGTCTTTCGCAGTATCTTTTTTGTGTATAAACAGTAATATACGGCACTTTAGTCTCTTAAGTAACACATGCAAGTTTTTTTATTGCTAGTGGGGTGGGACTAAGTCCCTTGTACTGCGGCCACTTCTGGCCTATTGTACCAACCCCAGATGATAGGTGAGGGTGATTGTGGAGCAATTGATGGAATGAAGATGGGCAGGGGAAACCGAAGTACTCGGAGAAAACTTGCCCCAGAGCCACTTTGTCCACCACAAATCCCACTTGACCTGACCCGGGATCGAACCCGGGCCGCCGCGATGGGAAGCCAGCGACTAACGGCTTGAGCTATGGCACGGCCCCACACATACAAGTTAGTGCATTGCAAAACACAGGTAGTGAATTATAATTACTTGCTTAAATGCAGACTGTTAAATCGATAGAGCATGACGTCACACGTTTTTCACCGTTGCGAGTCCGCATAATGGCCGCTTTTTTGTATTAAAACGGAGTTTAGCAAACAAGCAGCGATAGATATACATCGTTTTATGCATCCAAACCACACATGGTCTCCTAGCATATAAATCAGAGAAAGGGAAATTGGAAATAGAAAAGTTTTACATGATAGAACATATTAGAGACACTTCAGCACATACCAGATCGCTGCAACTGCTACTACAGGATTTCTCACCCCTGACCTACCGAAATAAAAACGATGACGTCAGTAGATCGATAGTACTTGTCTTCTTAATCCAAAGCG